CGACTCCCCAGCAGCAGCCGCTGCTGCTGCTGCTGCAGCAGCAGCAGCAGCAAAGACAGGAGAAGGCGGAGGCACAGAGACAGCATCTCTGAGAGTTTCTCCAGAAAAGAAAAGGTCAAGAGATAGGGGCCCCCGGGCCTCTCTGTGGAGCCCGGGGGCCTCCCGGGGGGCCCGCCGGCGGTCACCCCACAGAAGGGGCCCCTCGGGGGGGAGACGATCCCCGGGGAGACGATCCCAGGGGATCCGATCCCAGAGGATCCGATCCCCAGAGCGGGGGGCCTACCGGCGGAACTCTGGGGATCGATCCCCGCGGAGACGATCCCCACGGAGACGATCCCAGGGGAGGCGATCCCAGGAGAGACGATCCCGAGGGAGGCGATCCCAGGAAAGACGATCCCAGGGGAGACGATCCCACGATAGACGTTCCCAGGGGAGACGATCCCAGGAAAGACGATCCCAGGAGCGGCCCAAGCGATCCCGCCACGGCGCTTCGCGGCAGGGGAAGGAGGGGAGGCGATCCCAGGAAAGACGATCCCAGGAAAGGCGATCCCAGGGGAGACGATCCCAGGAAAGACGATCCCAGGAAAGACGATCCCAGGAAAAACGATCCCAGCGCTGCCAAGGCTCCCCCCCGGCCCGCCGCTCCCCAGGGAGACGTGTGGGGCCCCACAGGGGATCGTCTCCCCAAAGACGATCCCCGAAGTGGTCCCCTGTGGGGCCCCACAGACCCGCCAAAAGAGGGTCTCTGCGCAGGTCGAGGTCTCGCGAGGGCCCCTGGGGGGCCCCCCGGGGGCCCTGCAGCTCCCCCAAGACCCGATCCCCTGGGAGACGACCCCACAGACGATCCCCGGGCCGCCCCACAAGGCGATCCCGATCCCGGGACAGGCCCAGGCCCAGGAGTCCCACAAGGCGATCCCGATCCAAGGGGACTCGGTCTCCGCGGAGGCGATCCCAGGAAAGACGATCCCCCGCAAGGCGCTCCGCAGCCCAGCAGCAGCAGCAGCAGCAGCAGCAGCAGCAGCGGGGCAGCAGGGGGGTGCCCAGGAGCGGCCCCACACCTTCACACGACTCCCCAGGGGGCCCCCAGGAGGGGCCCTCTTTGTGGAGCAGCAAGGAGGAAGCCAAGTCTGCGAGGTCACCCGCACGAAAGGAGCAGCAGCAGCAGCAGCAGCAGCAGCAGCAATGGGGCTTCACAGAGTCAGCAGCAGCAGCAGCAGCAGCAAATCTGGCGGCCTCGACTGGTGTAGTATCCAAGTGCAGCATTGGCGACGTCACAGGCTATGTGGCTCGAGAAGAAGGGGCAGCAGCAGCAACAACAACAGAAGCAGCAGCAGCAGCAGCCGCTGCTGCTGCTG